AAAAGTATTCTTCAAACAGAGACCATCGTAGCCCGTGGCAGCCTCAATGAGCCGCTCCGCCTGCCGAAGCGCCCGGAGATGTTGTCTGGCGCTAGGAGGTCAGCTCTGCCGCACTAGCCAAAGGCCTGCAATCAAACACCGTCCACCGCCACCCGCAACTCCACAAATTCAGTCACGTCGAACAGTGACGGAGGCACGTTTTTCATCTCCAGCGGGGTATGTAGCCTGCTAAGCCTGTCTGCCCAGCGGCTCAACTCCGCATTCAGGGTCTTCTCGTTCCGCATGGCATCGTGAGCGCCGCCCACCTGATACGCCTCCAGAGGGGGAAGGTTCCCTGAACAGAGCAACACAACGCCCACAACAAAGAAAAGAAGAGGTAGAAAAAGCAGCGAGACGAAGGGCACCGGGTGCCGCGCGATGCAGCTTCTCCCAGCAGGTTGACGGGAAACCCCCTGCCCGCCATTCTCACCTGCCCGCTGTCCCGCATTTTACGTCATGCCAAATGGGGAGGGGGGGGGGGGGGTAGCTCCAACACCACACCCGAAAGACACAGCTGCAACTGCTTCTCGGGGATGTGTGTGTGCGCGTTGAAATGAAGATGTAAAGAACACTGAGCAATTCATTCTGGCGGCAGAAGTGGAAAATACGTGCGGACGGGCGTGTAGGCCATAGAACGTGCACATGCCAAAAGTGGACGTCTCACTCATTTCCACATCATTTCCAAGTTGTCATATGGTGAGAGCTTCTCAACCGGTGCGGTCCACAGCATTAGCGCCAAAAACGCCTTTGGAAGGCCATTTCCCGCCTTCCTGGCACTGCAAAAAGCAGAAGATAACAAAAACTCACACTCATTCGGCACCTCGTGCGAGGCATCAGGGAATACACACACGTACATATTTGTTTATATAAAAATAAACTTCTCAAGGGAAAACTTGTTTATTCCATTCGTATGTAAATGAGATGTCTGCAGAAACAAGCAACGGGCAATGGCACGACCGTCCGCATTCAACATCGCCGCACCAACATCATCGCTCACTCCACGCCTTCGTCCAACACCCGGGTGAAAGCAAAGCCCCCCTCCAGCTCCAACTGCTGCGTGCCGGCAACAAATTTCATCCGTGCCACTTGCCAGCGACGCACACACTAAACCCCAAGCCCAACCCAAAGAGCCTAGTAAGAGGAAGAAAGGGAGAAAAAAGGCAGAAGCAAAGGAGGAAACAAGAAGAAATGGCACTCCATGGTGAATGGCTCTTCCCAAAGCAACTCTAAAGTACCCGTAAAAATATATACACATTAATACTTGAACACAATGGCTTTTTCTGCTGTATGTGGCACTGCAGTATGTATGCATCTCTCACCTCTCTCTCTGCCTTCTTCCACCTCTTTCCAGCTTTGCATTTCACTCATTCCGCTAAGAACGCCTTGATATTGATGGTCTTGATGGGCAATTCCTTGGCGGATGCCATGGTGCCTTGATTATACATCGACTTCACGCGGTTTACTAACACCTTGCGGTTGGACCAGAATGTGTCCTGCTGCTTCCGGAATTGCATGTAACGCGTCTCCTCCTCCGCCTCCTTCATGCGCTTTGTCATGCCTACCAAACTACGATTTACGTTGATCCAACGACTGCGGTAGTCCCTCACCGCCTTGCTCTCCTCAAAGTCAACAAAGAAGAAAGGCTCGTCGTAGTTTGTACGTGGCCGCTGCCGCTCCCCGAAGGGCCACTCCACGTTGGCCAGCCGACACTGATACCTCACCGCGTGCAGTGTCCAAAAGTTGCTGTACCAGCGCCCTACAATGCCCTCAGACTGCGCACGAATGCGCTGGGGCGGGCGCGGCACGTCCGCCACCTCAAACCAATCCGGCACCATAGAGAGCGCCAATCGCAGCGCCTCCGGAGAGTACTTTTGGCGCATGATGGGGCGCCGCCCCTTCGCATATGCGCCCATGCGGCTCACCTCATACCACGTCTTCTCGCGGTAGGTCGCGCGGTACGTGCTACGCCGTCCGTTCCACCACATCATGTTCTGGATGTTCAGCATGGATGGGACGTACTTGACAGGTGTCGTCTCCGGAGCGATTCCGACCCCTGGCGAGGCCGCAAGCAACCTACTCGTATGCTGCAGCATCGTCCGCCTTCTCGCCGCTCAGTGCCGAAGCAACAACAAAAACCAGACACACACACACACACACACACACCGGCGCCGTGCAGGCTCCGTGGGGAGCACGTAGTGGTGGGGAAAAAAAGATAACGGAGGGGACGAGAAGACCCCGCTTCTTAACGCTGTGGCGCGTGTGGGCGTGGGTGTGCGCCTCCTCCCCTGCACAGATCCTAATTGGCAAGAACCGCACACACGAAAAACGAGGGGAGAAGAAACGGAAAAAAAAACGTATATTGAAAGAGTGCAACGGTGTTGATGTCATCCACACAAAGCCCAGAGCTCAGCAGCCAGCAAAAAGGTACCAATGCGGCGTGTTACCCACAAACGCCGGCAGTTTTGCCCATGACACACACCCACGCACACACCACCACCGTCAACGACAGCCAGGACGAAGAAACGCAACATGAATGATACAACCCACCCCGCAGAAACCCTCTCCACTAGCAAAGAAAGCAAAAAAAAAACATACACACACGGTCCACACACAATACGATTGCCCACTAGAGCAAGGAACACCACTTGTTTGTCCTGCGGATGATAATACGCGTACTACACAACTTCCACTACTCCCCGTCAAAACTAAACAAAAAAAAAGAGGAAAAAATAACAACAATAATAATAAATCCCCCCCATCACGAGCCCACCCTGTGCGTTGTTACACTCCTTGGTTTTATTTCTCCTCATTTGGAGTCGTTGATGCCGTCGTACCACTTAAGACGGCGCCAGCTTGCTCGCTTTCACGGCCGACGTACCGGCGGCTTCCCTAACCGCAGATGACCATAAGCTCCGGAAGTCATTCCGAGTCTCCTTCGTTTCCGCACCGTGCTGTGTATAGTCAATTTTCTCAGTTCCCTTCCAATTCCAGTCGGCGTCGCCGTAGTAAGCATCGGTGACAGGGTCGGGAATGTACGGAAACTTATGCGCGTAGAGCTGGTGTCGCACGTAAAAGCTGTCCTGCACCATCGGCTTCCTTATTTCGTCCAGGAGCACATACTTCACACCCCAGCCTTCCAGCAGGGCAATGGCCTCATCATTGTGAATGGCCATGAGGTGGCGGCGGAAGGTTGAGTCCTGGAAGAGGTTTGTGGTGGCTATCATGCAGTCCCACGTACTACGTGTAAAGTTTCCCAGCCGATCAAACTGTGACCCCTTTAGTTTGACGGTGCGAATGTCGCAGCGTTCCGAGTAAAGGGTGGGGTGGCAATACTAGGCCCTGTGATGGTGACGCTCAAGAATAAACTTCATCCCTTTTAGTCCTTCCATGGCGTTGCACAGAAACATGCGATCATTGTAGTGCTGAAGGTAGCTGCCAGGGTAGCGCAGCTTCTTCTTCCGCTTCTTCAGAAGCATCAGCGTTAGCTCAAGGCGCTGCGGGGTGATGTGGTTGAGAACGCGCGTCAGGCTGGGGTTGTGCACAATCGTCATCGTTTATTTCCCCCACAGCCAAGGCCTGAGCCACTAATACTACGACTACTACTGCTGCCACCACTCTCTCTTTTTCCCACACTATACATATATGTGTATGTGTATGTGTATGTGTATATATAGTGTGTGTGTGTGAGAGAGAGAGAAAAGAGAGAGACATGAGGTAAAGGAGAGAATATAGACAATAAAATATACAACCTCTTCACCACCACCACCACCTCCAAATAAAATAAATTTAAAAAACAAGAAAGGCAAGGCATTTCACGTCCCAATGCGCTAGCAAAGCCCTCTCTCTCCCTCTCACCCCTCCCTGTCGTCTGTCTTCTCTTTTCTCTCCGCACCCGCGTGGTACGGAATGCATCGCAGGTGACGTGATATATATATATATATATATATATATATATATAGTTGGGTGTGTGGAGA